TGCGCAGATGAAGGAGCGCGAGGCGCGTCGTCGTCTGCGTCACCTGGAGTGGCTGCAAAGTCCCAAGGGTACTCCCAAGCCCCCGGACACGGATGATGAGGAGTAGAGTGTGAATGAATGACCGCGATGATTGCTGGATTGGCTTATAGACCTTTTTGTTTGCTTGATGACTGTCCATGAGTATATAGAGCTGTAGACGAGATTCTCAGCATAGAGCATCCATTTCGTTTTGGTTTTTGAAAATCTGTATGCAAACAAGTATAAACTAAAGAAACGTAGGAGTCTGTTGTAAATTACAGTATCTTACTTTGTCAATACTATACACCGAGTTGTCGTCATGCAGCCCCAGTTTGGTCTCCACCGGGCGCGGAACGCCCGCGGCAGGAACCAATGCCAGAAAGCTTGCGGTGACAATCCCCTGGCCAGAACCTGCGAATTGTCCCAAGTTCACCACTCCCAATCTCCCAGTCCACTTCTCCCTCCTTCATCATCCAATCCCCATACCGCCCTCCATCTCCCATCCCTCTCTCCCCTAATTCAATGCAATTCTTTGCTCTCCTTTTTCTGGCATGTCCTCTTCTTCCTGTGCATCTTCACATTCGTTTGCATCCCTCTGATCCATGATTTTCTATCGATATCGAATAAGCACAATTTAAACACAGCGCAGAACAATGCCACCCAACCCGGGACCCCCTCCCCCCTACCGGGACCACCTCAAACAAGACGCGCCCTCCCGCAAATCGCTCTCCTCCTTCGCCCCGATCCCCGAAGAAGAATCCTCACCATCCGCCGACATCGACGACCGATTCACCCTCTCTGACCTCTCCGATGACGACGACCACCACCACAATCACAATACCGGCGGCAGCGGCAGCAGCAGCAGGAGCAGCAGCAGCCAGATCAAACTCCGCCGCATCGACAACCACCACAGCCGCCACAGCTCCACCGCATCCAAACCCGCCTACGCCTACCCCGCGAGCAACAACAACAGTGCCCGCCCCTCGGACGTTGAAGCCTACCTCTCCTCCATCACCGCCGCGGAACGCGAACTCTTGACCGCGGCGCATCAGTTCGAACTCTCCGACGACGACGAGGAGGACAGCGACGACAGCGATGCGCGCTCCGTGAGCTCAGACGTGGGGTTGAGGAAGGGGTCAAAGGGACATCATCGGAGAAGATCGTCGGCTTTCAAGAAGCATACGCCGCATATGGGGTGGGGGTGGACGACGACGACCAGATACTATTATCGGAAGGTTTGGTGCCGTGCGCTGCTGGTGGTCGTGTTGGTGTTGGGGGCGTTGGTGTGGGTGTTTCTACGGTTTGCGGCGCGTGGCGGCTGGGATGCGGGGAGGGTGGAGGTGGTGAGTTTTTTTCCCCCCTGACTACATGGTTGCTACAGGTGTAAGAGGATGCTGGGCTAATTGTGGTGTTGCTTCGTTTTGTGCAGGATATGCCTCCCTCCGAATCATGGTTCCCGACGCCGCAAGGCGGTGCGCTGGAGGATTGGGCGGATGATTATCGCAGGGCGGAACTGTTGGTGCGCAGTATGACGCTCATCGAGAAGATCAACATCACGACCGGCGTTGGATGGCAGATGGGCATGTGTGTGGGGAATACAGGTTCGTCTTGATCGGAATATCCTGGCTTGGTGACTACGTGGAGATTAACTTTACACCGCTATACAGCGCCCGCCGAACTTGTCAAGTTTCCCTCGTTGTGTCTGCAGGACGGACCACTGGGGTTGCGCTATGCCGATTTGATCTCCGCCTTCCCCGCTGGGGTCACCACCGGCGCGACCTGGAATCGCGAGTTGATCCGTCAGCGGGGCGTGGCATTGGGCGAGGAAGCGCGCACCAAAGGTGTCAATGTGCTTCTCGGTCCTTCCATGGGCCCCCTGGGGATGATGCCTGCTGGTGGTCGCAACTGGGAAGCGTTTGGGGCGGACCCGGTTTTGCAGGGTGTGGCGGCCGCGGAGACTATTCGCGGCATTCAGAGCACCGGGGTGATGGCTACGGCCAAGCACTACATCATGAACGAGCAGGAACATTTCCGTCAGCCCTACGAGTGGGGCATCGCAACGGCCCTGTCATCCAACATCAACGACCGTGCGCTACATGAGGTCTTTCTCTGGCCCTTCGCGGAAGCCATCCGGGCCGATGTCGCCAGTGTCATGTGTTCGTACCAGATGGTGAACAACAGCCACGCCTGCGAGAACAGCAAGCTGCTGAACGGGATCCTCAAGGATGAACTGGGTTTCCAGGGCTTCGTGCAGTCCGACTGGCTGGCTCAGCGCTCGGGCATCAATAGCGCTCTAGGCGGGCTCGACATGAGCATGCCCGGCGACGGTCTTCGCTGGGCGGACGGCAAGTCGCTCTGGGGATCGGAGCTGACTCGTGCCGTGCTTAACACTTCTGTCCCGATGGAGCGGTTGAACGATATGGTGACTCGCATCGTAGCTGCTTGGTACCATTTGGGCCAAGACACGTGGGAGCGCCCACCGCCGGAAGGCAACGGCGGTCCCAACTTCTCCTCTTGGACCAACGACGAGGTGGGCTGGATCTATCAGGGATCCCCTGGTGACGAGACCTACGGCGTGGTGAATCGCTTTGTTAATGCGCAGGGCGAGGGCGACAATGCCCATTGGATCATCGCGCGCAAGGTCGCGACCGAGGGAATTGTGCTCGTAAAGAATGACCGTCAGACCCTCCCGTTGTCCCGCCGCCCCACGACTGGGTCCGGAGCCGTGTTTCGCGTGGGTGTCTTCGGTGATGATGCGGGCCCGGCAATGGGTCCCAACGCCTGCGCCGATCGCGGGTGCAACCAAGGAACCTTGGCGATGGGCTGGGGCAGCGGCACGGCCGAATTCCCGTATCTGGTCAGCCCCTTTGAGGCTTTGCAGTCCGCCTGGGAGACAGAGATCGAACTCAGCCCCTACCTCCGCAACGCGGTGATGCCGGCGGAGGTGGCGGACAAGGACCTCTGCTTGGTGTTCGCCAATGCCGACTCGGGCGAAGGCTTCATCTCCGCGGGGGGCATTCACGGCGACCGCAATAACCTGTTCCTGCAGAAGGGCGGCGACACGCTGATCGAGACGGTCGCTCAAAACTGCGCTGGGCCGACCGTGGTGGTTGTGCATGCGGTGGGTCCGGTCGTGGTGGAATCGTGGATCGATCTGCCAGGGGTCGATGCCGTGCTTTTCGCCCATCTGCCTGGCCAAGAGAGCGGCAATGCGCTGATGGACGTCTTGTTTGGCGTGGTCGATGCCAGCGGGCGGCTGCCATACACGGTCGGCAAGAGTCTGGAAGACTACGGACCCGGGGCGCAGGTCTTGTATGAGCCTAATGCACCCGTGCCGCAGGTAGATTTCCAGGACGGGCTGTATATTGATCATCGGTATTTCGATCGACACAACATCACGCCACGATTCGAGTTCGGGTTTGGATTGTCGTACACGACGTTTGAGCTTGCCGATCTTCATGTCCAGGGGCTGCAGTCCAAGTCCCGTCTCCCGGCGTCTCGACCGCCCCAGACCGTCTTCCCCCCCGAGTACGACGCGGAGCCTCCACGCAATGAGTCGGTGTTGTTCCCTGCAGAGTTCCGGGCGGTCCCTCAGTTCATCTATCCGTACCTCACGTCGATGGACGGCACCGCGGCGGCCAACTACACGCACTATCCGGAGGGGTACGACCAACCGCAGCCGTTGTCGCCCGCCGGTGGTGGATTGGGCGGAAATCCATCGCTCTATGACGAGGTGGTGAATGTCGAGGTTGAGGTGCGCAACACAGGACCGCGGGCCGGTCAGACCGTGGTGCAGGTGTATGTCTCATTCCCTGGGGGAGTGACCGAGGATGGCGACTGGGTGGAGGTGCACGAGGGGGCGCGGCGGTCCAGCAAGGTGAAGCTGGAGCGGATGCCTGAGCCGATTGAGTTTCCGTCGCGCGTGCTGCGGAATTTCACCAAGGTCGCGCTGGAGGCCGGGGAGAGGCAGACGGTGGCGATGACGTTGACCCGGAAGGACCTGAGTTACTGGAGTGTGCGCGAGCAGAATTGGGTGATGCCGGATGGCGAGTTTGAAATTTGGGTCGGACAGAGCTCACGGGATTTGCCATTACGGGGGGAATATTGATGTTTCTGATGTTCGTGATAAGGTCCGTTGCCCATTGGGGATGGTGCCGAGTAGGACATTGTGATGATTAGTGAGACACACATTAGACCCGAGGCAGAAATGCAGAAAGGCACCGTGGGCAGGACATTGAAGGGGAATTTCGGCGGAATCCGAGACATTCAGACATTGTACAGTTGCATTGCATGAAGTCAGCGTTCGTATATGTAAATAAAAAATTGCCGAAGTTTGGGGTTGCCTGGTTTTTTTGTTTGTGATGTCTTAGACTAGTTTTTGTTGGTGTTCGTGAATATTCTGCAGGCATCGATCGAGTTTAGCCGTGGGACTGAGTGAGTGACTGACTGCACCAGAAGCGAAGCAGCGAATGATGTCATCTCTTTAAATAGTACATTTTGCTAGAGGATCCACAGGGTCCAGCGGCAGCTTCGGGTCGGGTAAGACGGTTGCTGATGAATGATAACCTAAACAGAATGTCATTTGGGAGGAATGGGGGGGGGTGAATTGGGGCATTGTTCGGACATTCCCCAACTTCCTTTTCTCACTGCCTAATAATCAATACGAAGGCGAGTGAAACCTGGTCAACCAGTTTCCAATGTTACTGAAGGGGGAATGTCCCCGAGACACACTCCGCTGATCAGCAGATGGAGTGGGGATGTTTCACTCATCGCATCGCTAAACCAGCATGGTCGATTCACTAGAGTTGCTAGTTAGCCACGGGTTGGAGAGTGGCAGTGGAACAAGATACTGACATTGGACTGAGGTATAAAGACCTTCTTTCTTCCCCAGGATATTTTTCAGTATCATCTACAAACAAACCATCCATCGTTACCAGTTACCACTCACAATCCCAATCACCACCACCACCACCACCACCACAATGAAGCTCCTTGCTCTCCTCTCCGCCGCCGCCGGTGTCTCGGCTCTGCCCCAGGCCCAGCAGGCGCAGGCCAACTACAACTCGTTCTCGGTGATGTCCGCCCGCTCCGGGTCGCCGGTGCACCTGCTGCCCTTGAACGCCGCCTCCGGGGGCTTCTACCTGGGGCTGCAGAACGCCTCCAGCTACTGCCCAGACCAGGTCGCCGAGCTGGGCGCCTGCCCGCCTGGCACCGAGACGGTGTTTGATGCCGGTGCCAACTCTTTGGTACGTTCTTTCCTGCCCCCTCCCCCTCTCCCATATGCATCCCCCTTCCCCTCTCCTATAAACCACAAACAACTAACAACCCTCGCAAAAACAGGACGTCTCCGTCCCCGGCGGCCAACAAGTCTACATCGCCCCCAGCGGCGCCCTGGCCTTCACGCAGCCCCACTCCGCCTACCTCCCCGCCGGCTCCGTCGTCGGCGCCTTCAGCTACTCCCAGACCGCCGGCGCCACCTTCGGGTACTGGACCCTGCCCAACAGCGGCCTGATCGCTTGCCCGGTCCCCGCTGCCGCCTCTTCCTCCTCGGCTGCCCCATCTGCCACCCCCGCTGCCGGTTCCGCTGCTGCGACCGCCAGCAAGTGGCAGGTCTTCGCTGCCTGGAGCAACGCCACTGTCCCCTCCGGTAACGTCGGCGACTGCCTCGGATTCGATGCCTTGGCCGTCGGTCGCAATGGCAGTGCCGCTGCTTGGGAGTATATCTAAACGGATACGGACTCCGTCACTGTCTGCGGATTGGGTTGGGGATTGTGCCCCATCGGTGGATGTTCATAATGTTTCGGGGGTGTGAATGATTGGTAATGGATATATGTACTGTATATGAATGTTGGAGAGGGGGTTGGTTAGTGGCCCGTGTTTATAATGAATTATTCTTCGTTTTCTTTGAGAGTGTGAGTGTTTCTGAGCTAGGTGATAGCCAACGCGTTCCTAGACCTCGTGCTTGATTATTTGATTGAGATTTAGATTAAGTGGGAGCTTGAAAGGGGGATGCGGGGGGAGACCGCATATGGCATATGGTTGGTAAGGAGGTGGATATAGGGGATGTCAGCAAATCTGATGCAGTCATGGGTTTATCGTTAGGTGGGTGTGGGCTGAACCCTCATCTCTGTACGTTTAGTATTTCCAGTTCGGGGTGTCGATGGGGATGGTTGGGGATGTTTACACTGGAAGTGTAGAGTAAATCTAGCATCATATTTGATCATGGATGTATTAACAAAGGCGTAAATGATATCTGCAGTCGTGTCTCGTTAATCTGTGTCTATCCTCCACTGTCCCGCTCTATTCCTGCAACCAACTCAAACCGTCTCGATGTACCGCCTCACCTCCCTGCAATCAAGTTAGCACAGCCCACAATTTTAGTAGTGCACAACCTACCAATCAGTCACCGCCTCCTCCCACAACCGACACTCGTGCTCGCGCGTCCCGCCAAAGTGCTCCACAAACGCATCGCCGAACACCTCGCGCGCCACGCTGCCCTCGCGCATGAACGCGCCCACCGCCTCGCGCAGCGACTTGGCCAGCCGCACGCCCCGGTCACTGGCACCGCCCATCTCATCCCCCTTCGACAGCGGCGGCACGGGGAGGGCCAGCTTCCGCGCGACGCCGCGCCACCCCAGCGCGACCACGGCCGCCAGCACGAAGTGCGGGTTGGCGTCGGCCCCGGGCACGCGCACCTCCAGCCGCGTCGCCTTGGGGCTCGCCGTCGGCGGCGCGATCACCCGGATCGACGCCGCCCGGTGCTCCAGCCCCCACGACACCGTCACCGGCGCCCAGAAGTTCTCCACCAGCCGCTTGTACGAGTTCACCGTCGGCGCGAACACCGGCATGATGTCCGGCAGCCCGTCCAGGATCCCCGCCAGGAAGTGCCGGCCCAGGTCCGACAGGTGCGCGACGTCCGGGTACGGTGGCGAGGGGTCCGGCGTCGCGCGGTAGAAGGCGTTGGATCCGTCCTCTTGCGACACCAGGGAGATGTGCATGTGGCCGCTGTTGCCGGGCAGGCCTTCGCGTGGCTTGGCCATGAACGTGGGCGTGATGCCGTGTTTCGTGCCGAGGGATTTCACGACGTATCTATTATCGTTAGTCCGGGAGATGCAGCTGGAATGTATGGAAGGGTGGGCCTACTTGAAGAGTCCCGCTTTATCGGCCATTTCCTTGGCTTCGCCGAATTGGAGTGCCTAGTAGCCATTGGATTGTCAGCACCGCGGAAGAGTGTGTGTGTGGTTCTGTCCGCTGCGAGCTCATACCGCTTCATACACCCCCGGCCCACTCTCGGTATGCCACCCCTCGATCTCGCAGTTGAACTGCTCGCACGCGTCGAACACCCCATAGTAATACTCCTGGTTATGCGTCGGCCGCGTCAGACTGTACCCGAACATCCCCTCCGTCAACGACGGCAACGCTTCGACGGGGTTCTCTTTGAGGAAGGTGGCGGTCGCGGAGGCGTTCTGCTTGGGGTCGGGATGACTGCTGGGCGCGCGGAAATGATAGAACTCATACTCCGCTACTCGGCTAGATTAGTTCCGCGCATCACACACTCAAATATCAAGTATCATGGTCATGATGTGGGGGGACGTACCTCCAGCCATCGCGCGATACCCCGCCGCCTCCACCGACTCCAGCGCCGTGCGCAACAGGCTCCGCGGACACGCGCACACCGGCTGCTTGGTGTCGGGATCGAAGAAGCTGACCAGGAAGAAGGGGATGTTGTTCTCCCAGGGGATGCGACGGAAACTGCGCAGGTCCGGCACGGCCACCAGGTCGCGGTACCCGTTCTCCTTGTTGCTGATCGCCAGCTCCTTGAAGTAGGTGCGGTCGTGCATGTCCCACCCGAAGATCACGGAGCAGAACCCGAACCCGTCGGCGACAATCGAGAGGAACTTCTTCTTGGAGACCAGCTTGCCGCGCAGCATGCCGTCGACGTCCACGCCGGCCAGCTTGACGCGGGTGTCATGTTGGAGGATCTGGGCGATGTTGTCGAGGGTGGGGACCTCGGTCTCGGGGGGTGACGAGGCCATGTTGGGCTGTGGGTGTGGGTATGGGTGTAGGCTATGGACTGCCGGTCAGAGGGAAGTCGGAAGATGAAGTTGGAGATAGAGAAGGGGTAGGGGTACTGTGAGATATGGATAGGAACAAGAGGCAGTGAGAGCGAGTGGGAACGGGAACGGGAAGACGTCACCGCCAGCCACCCCTTCTTCCTCCGTCTTCGGCTGGCCACTTGTCGCCCGTTGGCTTATCGTGCGGCTTGGTGACTGCCAGTTGAGATTGTGGAGGATCATGGTTTGGCTGGGTCAGCATGGCAGGCACAAACTCTCAAAGGCGGATCTCTCATCTTGTCGATTGATGTACCACTGCAGTGGCTGGAAGAACCCAGTTTGTGACTCCTATTGGAATGAAGCTGTAATCAACGCACAGGTGGAATGCTGGCTTTGGTGCCTTGGTGCCTGAGTGTCTTATCGTTCATGCTTATCGATAAGCGCAGGAAGCCTTCTCTCCAATGTTTTCCCTGCTCTTACAATTAACAATCAACTTCCTCTCTACCTCTACTGTGTCGACCTTGAGCATCACGCCGAGGACATCTTGCATGACATCCTCTCGCTCTTTCCAAGCTGCCTGCTACTATCTAGATGAAGACAGAATTACATCAGCCTCGCATCACCTCCCTCTGCTACATATAGCATGGTTCGCCTATCCCAAACCCGTCAATCCGTCCTTCTTCCTACATGGCCGGTTGCCGAACCAGGACTCGAACACCATATCTATCTGTGTCGTGGACTTGCTCGTCATTTCTACCCTATCTTAGCAGTAGTCTTCTTCGTCTCAGCTCTTACGAGATACTATCGACCGTCTAGACCATGCCGTCCAGTGGAAATCGATACCCTGCCAGCTGAAGTCACGGCAGCGAAGACACTAAACATTCAACCTGAATTTAATATCATGCCAGGTGTCCGAACTGGTGACTACATGTTATACGAGTATTGATGAAACATCGACAAGTTGTTCCCTCTGGATTCTGATGTATGCCCCCGCCAGGTGTTTGTAGCTTACGCTGCTAACAAATAAGCCTAAGTTCTGTCAATCGAGTTACGGGATATTGCCGCTGTCAGCCAACCATGGTTCTCCAATGCAGTGACATCAACCATCTCAGAGAATCGAACATCTCCGGACTCATTGTTCCAATTCACCCATTTTCCGAGACCCAATCCTTCACCCTCTTCTAGGCGCTGAGTCAGCACCTCCGCCGCTTCCGATCGACATCACGACTCCGATCCTTTCAGGGGACTTCAGGGGTTTGGTTGCGATATCTTAGCTCCAGGCGGCCCCTTCCACCGTTCAAATGGACAATCACTATGCTGAACCACCACCAAATCAAGCGCAAGCCTCTTCCGCAAGCTGACGATGATGGCACCATCCGTGGTGTCATCAGGATCTCGCCGTGCCCAACACCAACTCCCTCGGAGAAGCCACCCCTCCTAGATACACCACCACCGCCATACACTCCTATGCGATCACCATCCCCACGCCTACCGCGACCCCCGCCATCACAGACCATCCCCACTCACGCTGCAACCACCATCCATGATCTCGCCCCAGCAACATCCCCCGCACCGAGCCTTCCCCGCACCACCACGGATCTCTCGGTCGCGCAGAAAGCCTACGGTGAAGCGCGTCACTTTCTAGGCGGGCTACTCAGCCATCCTACGGAAAGTACCAAGCATGTCACCATTCTGCGTCACTCCTCCGGCGTGGTCTTCTACCGGGGTAGCACCACCTCCGTGACCATCTCCATCTTCTCCGACTCGCCCCTTCCCGCCGACCGCACCCTCTATCTGCAATCCAAGGGATGGACCGGCAAGACGGGAATGCGCACCAAGGCCCTTCTACGGCTCACCGATGACTGGGTTGACGTGACTCCCTCCCATGCCGTCCAGGCGACTCAGGTGGAGCCCGCGGATGAGCGCGCGTGGCAGCGCGACATCGCGAAATTCCGCAAAAAGGCGCCACCTAAAGTTCGTGAAACGCACCGTCTGCGAGAGACCATTGTGGCGAGGGTCCCCGCCGAGGCGGGCGATGGCTACTTCCAACTCGTGCTATGTGGGAATGGCAAGAAGAAGGTACTCTGCTACAGTCCGGTCTTCCGAGTCCTGTCCACATCACTGAGTCCGAGCTCGTGCCGGGGCGCCAGTCTCTCCACCATGCCCTTGGAGGTGGGTGCAATGGTCCTCGGGATGTACGCTCAGACGGCCGCCGAGGCCGTCATCGCCCCCGTCACCGCCGCGGTCCAGGATCGAATTCAGCCGCACAAACCGAGCTGGAAGACGCAGACAGCCGCTGAGACGGCGTACTCGATGAGCGGGGCCGGCGACCGCGTGAGTTCGTTGGTGTCAGTTGCCTCGGGGCCCACCACCACCGGCAACCCCTCAGTAGCGAGAGAATACCAGCCTATCTCCTTGGATCTTGGTCCACAGCCACCATTCCCCGTGGACTTTACGGCATCGCGCGTGGCACCCGCAGCATGTGGGGATGGAACAAAGTACCGGCTGAGCAAAGTTCCCGACGCGATCCAGGATCAATACCATGGGGTATTCTTCGGCTGGGTACGCGTCTGCCAATCCGTTGCGCAGGCGCCCCAGCCCGGGGAAACAACATACTTGTCTCCACGCGACTCCCAGTGGCAAGGCATGGTCCTCTCCATCCTCTCGTATAACCCCGCGCTGGAAGCACGGGTGAACCTCTCGCGCGCGAGAGGCAAGGAGACCATCATCCGTCTCATCGATGACTCTCCGCCACTCGTACCACAGTCACGTCTCCAGGTACGGATCATGGGCTATCTCCGTCCGGATTTGCCGCCCGCGATCGGCAACACGGAGAGAGAGCTGCAGGCGGCGCGCGATGCGGCGGTCGAGGCGGCCATAATAGCGGATGCGTGTGATCTGGCGTATGCACAGGAGGTGTTGGGGCATCCTGCTTGGAGTGCCGAGGGCCATGGCCTGCGCGATGGCAGTGAGGGGAGTGGACAAGCTGGCACCTGGGTGCAGAGAACCCGGGATGGGGTCACGAACATCAGGTCCCGGGGGCAGAGGATGGTGGAGAATGTTCCCCTGCATTGGGTTGGGGTGCGGGGGCCGAATGCCGGTGCCGTCGAGAAACAGATGGCCATGAATGGGTTCTACATTGTGCGGGGTTGAGTGCTTGGGAGATCATAATCATGTATACATATCAATTCTTCTGTATATCTGCATTGGGACTATGTTCAATCTTATAGAAAAATCCGTCCGGAGCAAAATAATGAAGTGGAACAAGTCGTGCCAGCAATAGTGTTGTACTGCAGTCATACTGCAGTCATGGGTCTAGGCGCAAAAAAAACAGAAACACTATGTCACAAGACAACACCAAACACTATACGCATCAATACAATATGATTGGATATCAAGGTAGGACAACCGACCAAAGAAAAACAGCTGACGGCACAACTACGTCGTCTGCCGAGTGCCGACGCAGGTGCACAACAGTCACGGAGAAACAGCTTTGCTTTCCATCCACCGCAACACAGATGCCAAGCCAAACTAAAAAACTATGTTGAAAGAAGGACAAAAACAACCGGACGCAAAAAGACAAGCTCCCGGCGGGTCTCGAACCCGCAGCCTTTAGATTAGAAGTCTAACGCGCTACCATTGCGCCACGGGAGCCGCTTGTTGAATTGAGCATTGGGGGTAGCAATCATATGCTGCACATGCGCTGGATGGGCAGGTGTTTCGGAAAGGTTCTTCTTGGCCGGTGCGGTGGCTATTGTTGGTGCGGGGGTATCGTTCTCTAGTGTGGGAAGGATTCAGTCTAGTCAATAGATCTCTTAATCCGATGTCTAGGTATTGTTTATGGTCTTCAGGATGAAGATACTGCTAGATCAAGTTTCTTGATTCGGAATTTTGAAACTGTGGTCTGTTGACAATCTACACATTGTCGTGCCGAAGCTAGTGTTGCTCGATATATAAATATGGCTTGTTAAGTCGAATTTCATGCTTGACTGCGGTCAGCTTTTCCCCCATCAGCGACAGAGTGTCACATCATCGACAATTAGTTCTAACAGTCGTGACTAGAACAAGTGTAGAGCATTAAATCTAAATGCATACAAACAGAAGCACAAAGAGGAGACACGATAAAAAAGATCCTGTCAGTGGGCCGCAAAAGAACAAAAAAGAAATAATTAGCATGTCCTGGTTTCGATCCAGGGTCCTCCGGGTTATGAGCCCGGCGCTCTTCCCCTGAGCTAACATGCTGAATTGATGTGTTCTGGTTGCTGCTGTGTTACCATGTAGCAAGCAAGAAGCTGTTATGCTATTCTATTTAGAAACGCCCACCCTACCAAGAGAGATTACCAGCACTAATTCAAGCATACCAGTACAGACATACTTCTGAACATACCATACGTTGACGTACCAGAACGACCTCATTATATGTAAACTTCTCCTTCATGTTAGCCAAGTCGACACAGCACATACTGCGTCAACAGCGATTGGGTCGCAGCGGCACGAGTCAGCCTTGCGAGCCTCGTCAGCCGTCCACAGTATATAGCCCGCATACTCACTCACCTGGTACACCAGACCCGAACATATCAAGTTGCTACACACCCACCCACAGAATCCCCCCCACAACAACGAAGATGGATACCTTCCTCCCCGCCACCGCACCCCCGAACGCAACCGCCCACCGCATCGACTTCAGCCAGACCACCCCACCCCTCCCGTCCTACCGCCACCTCTTCGCTGCGATCATCGACAACATCCTCACCGAACCCGAATGCACCGAGCTCCTCCGCCTCGCCGAAGCCAGCACCAGCACTCTCACCGCGACCTCCCAGACCCCCCAATGGGAGCGCGCCATGCTCAACGTCGGCGCCGGCGAACAGGTCCTCCGCCCGGACACGCGCAACTGCGGCCGCATCATCCTCGACGCGCCGGAGCTGGCGCAGAAACTGGGCGATCGGATCCTCCCCTTCCTGCGGGATGAGTTCGGCCTCGACGTGCTGGAAAAAGACGCCTGGCGCGTGACGCTGCAGACGCGCCGGCGCTACCGGCTCACGCGGCTCAACGAGCGGCTGCGCTTCCTACGGTACCAGCGCGGCGAGTTCTTCCGCCCGCATCGGGATGCCTGGTATACCACGCCGGATCGTCGGGAGCGGTCGTTTTTCACGGTGCACGTGTATTTGAATGGGGAGGGGCAGGGGCACGGAGAGGAGGGTTTGGTGGGTGGGGCGACTTCCTTTGTGAGGCGCTTGGAGGTCGAGAGCGAGGAGGATGAGGTTGTCAAGGTGCTTCCTAGGGTTGGGTCGGTGTTGGTGTTTCAGCAGAATGATCTGTTGCATGCTGGGGAGCCGGTGGTGTCCGGGGTTAAGTTTACTTTAAGGACGGATGTGATGTTTGAGGAGATTTTGGAGGGTGAAGATTGAGGGTGAAGATTGAGGGTGAATAGAAGATGGTAGACGGTGAGGTGAGGGTGGATACGAGGTTTATGATTGTATGGGTGATGGATAGCTGTTGGCATATTGTAGTGGTGAAGATGAGGGTTGGAGGGATGGTGTATAGTCGGCGATAAGCGATAAGAGGTCGGTTGCATCATAGCTCTGTTGTTGCCTGATGCTTCTTTATGCTTCCCCCACTTCCTCTCGGTAACAACCATGGATTCATCAGTTCCAGAACCGAGACAGCCCGTCACATCCGACGGAGACACTATCGCTGCCGTGCGGGACCTGACAGACTCCATCAAAGCTCTGAGCTAATTGATTGATCAGGAGAACGACAGACGCGACCCGAGCAGAGTTCGAGAATTGGCCAGACAGAATGATCCCATTCTCAGCGCACTCAACGAGGAGATCCAGAATGGACGACCCAAGCATGCTCCCTCATCCACATCAGTGCAGTTGATGTCACCAGAGGAGATAGATGCCGAGAACGAGGCTTATATGGCAAAATACACGGGTATGTTGGTTATCAGTAGGCGAACTCGGTTTCTGACACCCCTAGACCTCTGGAAGAAGCACGAATCCACCCCTGCCGAGAGACAAACCATGCAGAATGCGTACGAAGCGGCGTTCGATCGGTTTCCGACCATCTACCGCACGCTCGGATGGCATGGTAACGATGATATCCTGTTCGATGCAAAAGTCCTCTCCCGCTATCGTGACACCCTCCTGGAGGGGCTCTTCGCCATCGAGCCGTACAGAATGAACCGTATATTTGGTCCGCTGGACCGCTCGAAAGCAGCATTCGAATACTCGCGACTGCCTCGCCTGCTTTCAATTCTTATACGCATAGAAGCTCGACGGAACGATGCCCTCGAATGCAGAGATGGCGTATGTGTTGACTGTCGCTACTTTGACGCCGACCAAACGCTCCGGGTATTGATCGAAGTCGGGCGGGCACTGCGACTTTCCAGACTCGACGGTCCGAATGAAATGACCCTCCAAGAACTCTTGGATCGATGCTATGCTCGGCGTATACTATCGCAGCCTGCCGTCGACGAGCCCGAGATCCTCTGGTACCAATTTCATCTTGTATACGATTGCCTGCCGGCGGTGGAATTTGAGTCTCAATTCCGCGAGATTCGAGACCCGTTGACTCTGACGTTCTACCTCTGACACAAAGACAAGCCGGTCTACAAAATCTTCGAAATTATCAAGTCTCATCGCAGCGTGATGACTGGCATCGAGCCAGTCGAAGAGCTCCCTCTTGACGAAGCTTCCAGCCCAACTTTTGCAGCGGAAACTTTCACAGTCCAGTACCTGCAGGATTTCGGGGGACTGAGTATCGAATGGACAGATTGCCTGGATGACCATCTTAGAATCTTCGCCGGGCGGAATGCAATCAGGATTTTCGCTCATCCTACTTCCTTCTACAATGGCCGGGGTCTTCAGAATAAGGATTATCACGAGCCTATTTATATTGAACTGTCCCAAACTTACGCTCTATTGTTCCGACCTTCGTCGAATGGAGGCCTGAGGCAGTTGAGAAAGGTAAACAAATCTTAAGAAGTTACGGCTGGGTAGGAAGATTGAAGTCAGCGAGCGATTCCGTTCTCAGACAAAGTTACCTGGAACTCTCAAGATCGATATGACAAGGCCCTCAGTCAAACGCATAATGGAGAATTTTCATCGCTGCTCTCTGCCATCCGCGGTACAAGCGGCCTTTGACATTGCTCATCCACCCACAAGCATCAAAGGTGTTAGCTCTTTTGACCAAAATAAGATCACTGTCACTCCCATGCGAGAAATGCACTCTCACGCCCCATATCATCCAGAAGACATCAGCATGATCACTTCTATCTTCCAGCGCGATGTCCGGCCCAACGAGGCTTTTTTGCACCACGAGTACTTCGGCCCTCGCTTGCGAAAACTCAAAACGTATCTCGACACACAACAACCAAAACAAATGAAGCAATTGTGGGTTGATCGGCGAGATGCTAGAATGTGGTGGACATTCTGGGGTAGCGCATTCTTCCTTTTTATGTTTCTGGTGCTTTGCGCAATAAGCGCGGCCTTCCAAGCAGCAATAGCTCAACGGCATGACTAGGCTTACGACACTTACGACAAACCCAGTCTTTTATTATCATGAAATCATATGCTTGAAATTGAGGCGAACATGTCACTGGTAAGGTACAAGAATGACAGAACGAGAAGAAGCAAGTGAATTGAAAGATAACGGAATTTGCCTGGCATGATCAGAACAGTCTCATTCGGCCTCTGACCGATCAGTCACTTCTTACCACCAAGCCCCAGCCCCTCTGTTATTTTCCCCAAACCCAGCCCTTCCAGCAGCTTGTCGACCCCCAAACCTCCCAGCAAACCCGAGAGGAGATTCCCCAGTCCGAGTCCGTTGAGTAGTTTACCAACTAGACCGAGCACACCACTCAGCAGGAGGCCCACCGCGGCGATGATCTGAACCAGGGGCTCGGACAACAAAGTCCACAGCGGATTGATCTTCTTCTTAGCATGGGGCATGTCGGCGATCAGAGCCTTTCCTCTCTCGATCGTTTCTCCCACCACCCGAGTCAGCTCTTTGAGCACCTCAGCCAAATGGTGCTCCTCGGGACTAGCTTCTGCCGATGCACTGCGTGCTTTGGCTTGAGCAGCAATCTGACCATCGGGGTCTAAGGCTCGGAGAGCACCTTTGCACTCCTGCAAGCCATTGCCGGCCTCTTCAATCAACGGCTTGACCTGCTTCACAAGCTGCTCTTCGTCTAGCTCCTCTTTGGGAGTGCTATTGGCTCGCTCAATATGCTATCGTTTTCAACAGAGTTAGTAAGTTGTATGCGTTACTAGTCTGTTTGTTCGAGAGTCTCGACTTACCTGAGTGATCTGTTTGCACAAGGGCTCAATCGAGTCCAGCGTCTGCTGTACAATGGAAGCCATCTTCTTTGCCAGCTCTCTATCCCTTTCTTCACGGGCCTGTTTTTCACGTTCTTCGGGAGACAGCTCCGGCTCAGGCTCGGGCTCAGACTCCGGTTCCGGCTCAGGCTCAGGAGGAATGTTCTCCAAGAGGGTGCATTCACCGATTTTGTTGCCATCATTGTCAACCACATAGCCATTTTCATCGACAGTCCGACCGATCAAGTTGGAGAGTTCGCCTTGGGTCAGCTTGCCGATCACATTGCCATCCTCATCACGGACCTCGCCATCGCGGTTCACTTTCCGACCAGCCATGGGGCTGACATTGCGAGTTGGCTCTTCAGGGCTCCACGGTTCAGCCTGACCGACTGCATTGCCCGACTTATCGAGAATCTCACCGTCTTCATCGACAGCACGTCCACGAAGACGCTGAGGATCACCACTCACCAAGCGCCCCACAGTATCACCGTTCTCATCGATCACCAACCCATCCTTGCCAACCAACAAGCCTTCGAGGCCGGAGAAGGGTCCCTCAGGCCGGTCTCGTTCTTCAGCTGGGAGCAGCTCTGCCTGGCCGACCACGCGGCCTGCCGAGTCCCACACCTGACCTTCTTCATCCACTGACTTGCCAGCCAGCTTGCGTGGATTCCCGGCTACCAGCCTTCCATACACCACACCGGCATCGTCGACAACGTTGCCTAGCTTATTCACCTTTTTACCGGCTAAGATCGACAGATCCTCTCCTTCTTCCTCTGGCTCCTCAGCCTCCTCGGCCTCGGCTTCTGATGGCTCTTCCCACGGCTCTGCACGGCCCAATGGATTTCCTCGCCGATCCAGAATATCGCCATCCTCGTCGACTGCACGCCCGCGAAGTTTCCGCGCGTCCCCTTCGACGACCTGGCCTACCCGTCGGCCCTCTTCATTCACGACCCACCCGTCCTCGGCTACATGCAGATCACCCAGGTCGGCGAACGGACCAAGCTCGTCTTCCTCGACCGGGAGAGGCCTCGCCTTGCCCACAACCTTCCCGCGCTGGTCCCAGAACTGGCCTTGATCATCAAGCTGATACTTTCCACGGAAGATCTTCTTGGCATCACCCTCGATCAGCTCGCCAACGAGGGCACCTTTGGAATCAACGATGCCTCCAAACTTGGTGCAGGTGAGCCCTTCGAGGGTGGAGATGTCTGGTAGCTTTGGAGCTTCTTCTTCTCCCACCCCTTCTTCTCCCACCCCTTCTTCTCCCACCCCTTCTTCTCCCACCCCTTCTTCTCCGATGCCTTCTCCGATGCCTTCTCCGACTCCTTCCTCTCCGACTCCTTTTTCTCCCACCCCTTCTTCTCCAACTCCTTCTCCGACTCCCTCTTCCACTCCCGCCCCCATTTCTTTATCTCCTGTTAGTTCCTCTTCCGCTCCTTCTTTACCCTCCTTGTCCTGCGCAGACTCCGGGACTGCAAGCCCTTCGCCGGCGACTTCTTCTTCTTCGCCTGGCTGTTGCTCCTGTAGGGTCTGGTCCGCTTCGCTTGCTGGGGGCTCTTCCAAAGACTGATCTGCGTCGCTTGCCTGTGGCTCTTCCACAGGTTGATCGGGCTCGGTTGGAGCAGTGGCGTCCTCCATCTTGATCCCTTCCTGGGCTTCTTCCTGTCCCACCTGATCTTGAGAGACACCCTCTTCGGAAGTGGGCATATCTGGAAGGCTTTCACCCTGCTCAGATGTCCCCGCATCGAGGGTTTCTCCGGACGCTGGTTCTGCCTCCTTCTCCAGGAGTTGAACACGTCCGATTAGATCCCCATCTTCATCCAGAATTTCTCCGTTTTTGCCGACGGTCTGGCCGACAAGGTCGTCGGGATCTCCCTCGACTACCTCCCCAATCGGCTGCCCCGCCGAGCTCATTATCATGCCCCCTTCCTCGACACTGAGCCCCTCTAGACTCGCTAGGCTGAGCACGCTACCTTGGACATCTTCCAAGCCGGAGCCAGCGGTGTCTTCTTGAGCAGGTACCATGCCCTTGGCTTGCTGGGCGCCGCCGTCGAGCTTACTTTGGGCTTTTTGCGCCGCATCCGAAGAAGACCAGTGGCCCATCGATCTTACGCCCTGGGTGAAACGGCCCAGCCGATCTGCCGCCGTCTTACCCCGGGCCAGCATTGACGACCGCGGAGAAGTCTTGGATCCCCCGGCCTCGGCTCCACCTGAGCCGGACCGCATGCTCTGCCTCTGTTCTTGAGAGCTGTGGGTACTTCCTTCCATCTCGTGAGGACTGATCTCCTCTAAACTGGGCTCATTGTCCTCGGCTGGAACCGGGCCTTTCCCCGCAGAGCGACTGCCCTTGGAGCTCAGTTTTTGAATCTTGCGGTGGGCTTTCCCCGGGGTTCTTTGGGTACCGGGATGCGTTGCGGCTTTTTTCACCTCCATGAGTGTTTTGCTTCTGTATGTCTCGTGTTTGAGGATTGAAGATGTTGTACTTTCTTGTCGCTATTGCTTCTCAGATTTGTGGATCATGCTGTTCATACCTCCACACTATCCCAACGCTGCCCATGCATTTATAATCGGATATCTTCAACACTGCTATCACAAGACAAGCCCACTAGCCATCATTGATACGTCACTCACTCTTATTGACACGATGAATACGAGGGCCGAATCTTGTGGACACTACGGAAGCCTACACATATCCACGGCACTGGTATCGCGGTCGCTTACTAGCGCTGCAGGTACCCATGGCACAACTCGCGCAGCGATATACTTCCGGACCATGGAATTTGAGCATAGCAGCGAATAGACCCGATGAACAGTGGTATGATCAGGAGCCTTGGGGGGGCGAAAACTTCAAGGTTCTTTGTTTGTTTGTTCTACGTCTGGTTCTCATGATTCATGTCCAGCGGACCATGGATCCTGTACTCTGGGGACTACCTGCAAGGCACGGTGAGTTTTATCCTGATTGGAGAAGATGGACGTCATCGACGGTCAGGTCTTGCGTATGCTTGTGATTGATCCTTCTTGATTAGGTTCAAATACTATGTATGTAAAGACAATCATGTTGTGCAATGCACGAGGGCATGAAGTGCGTTATTGCGCTAGTGAGCGCTGCGCTTGGAGCGTCAGTGTGCTAGGTTCCACCTACAAGCAAGATCGCACACACCGCGCGAGAAGGGACCGAGGCAGAATTCCTCGCGCCATGCAGAAATTCAATTGATGCTAGACGACCGGAGCTTGGGATTCAATCTTCCAGCAATGCACATTGGGATTACGCACTATAATCAAGACCTTAAAAGCATTAGCAGTGTGCCCCTTTCCCCGGGTAGTCATGGTTCAACCCCCCGAATGCAGCCCCATACAGCCTGGCAAGTACGACGAATACTGCCCGAGAAAAGAACTTACAAGAGCGCCAGAGTGATATCCCCATGAATCTTCGCCTTCAGCTCCACCTCGACATCCAGGTTCAAATCTAGCCGCAGCTTCAGCCCGGTATCTTCCTTCTCGGGCTCCGGCTCGAGCGACCAATCCTGATGGCCTCCTCGCAGCGTCGTCGTGGCTTGTTGTTGTTGTTGCTGCTGCTCCTCGCGCGCGCCGCCGATCGATTCGTCGACTGAGGTTTCGGTATCGGAGGCGGAAGTGACTTGCTCTTGCTGTTGCTGTTGACGTCGCTGTCGCCGGGGCTGTCGCTGCAAGGCGCGGGATGTATCATTGGCTTCTTGGGCCTGGAAGATGTCTTTCTGTTGTTGCTCTTGTGGTCGACGGGGTAACGTGGCGGTTTGGGGGGTTTGACCCTGTGCAGTGGTCTCCTCTGCTGCGCTGGCTGGCTCGTCTGGAGGTGGTGTTGTAGCCATTTTCGTTGAGAAGGAGTGGTACCTTTGGCGTGGAGTGTTCTGGAGCAACAATTATTGATCGGATCGGCGCAATATATCGAAATCTTGTTCACCAAACGGGAAGGAATTCATTGCAGGGTGAAAGGAAAGGGGGGGCGAAAAAGTATACTCCCCGGGTTGAAAATGCATGACGTCTTGGCCCCTGTAAGGTCTGCATCAGCTGACAACCCCCGGCCCTAATGCCGCAAACCGCAACCGCAACCGCAACAGCCCCCATTCTCGTATTCCTCTGTTGCCCGAACAATACGGGTTGATGGTTCCACAGAACCAATCGTTTGGTTCCGACCTCCTTTATTGGTTTCGCAGATTCCCTCATCATGACCTCATTTCTGGATCATCCCAGACGGAAATATGGTAGGAATTGTATATCCGTTTAGTGAGGCGGCGGGGTTTTTTTAGTTTATATGGTGCTTCTCGCTTTAGCTTCGGGTATACTTCTAGAGTTTGAATTTGAATCTGCTTCGATACAACTAGGCAGAGAGGGCAACTATGACTGATTCCGCCAAGGATAGTCTAGATGTGAACACCAAGCCTAGTGATACTACCCCCGTGAAGCGCAAACCGCCAAAACTAAGACGCAAACCGCCGGCTACTGAGGAGTCACCTACTGAGAAGAAAGCTGCGCCAGTTGAGGAGACGTCTAGTGTTGAGAAACTCCCGACTAAGGACTCAGATTCGGACCAGAAGAAACCTTCCAAGGAGTCCGGCGCTGAGAAACCTGTGGAGGAACCCCGCGGTGGGAAACAGCCTGCTACCAGCGAGGAACTCCCGCCCATCGAAAAACTTTCTATCTCGGACGAATCGCCCTCTCCTGAGAAGCCCGAAGAGTCACCTCCAGTTGAGAACTCATCCCCAACCCAGGAACCACCGGCCGAGGAGCCATCATCCCCCGAAGAACAGCCCCCCTCTCCGGAACCCGCTACAAACGAGACACCCCGGCCCACCGAAGAAGCACCTCCACCAGAAGAGCCCCCGGAACATTCGCACTCACCAACGCCATCAAACCAACCCGACTCCCCCGCAAAACCCGACCCAATGGCCGACGACGCCAAGTCCGCCTCCTCAATGGACGAGCTCAGCGCGCCGAGCTCCCCGCAACCCGAGCCCGAACACCAACCGGAACCCCAGCGCCAGCGCCAACGCCAGCAACGCCGACAACGCCCCGTGGCCACCCCGCCGCCCCGCGACCCCTCCACCGCATCGAGCTACCGCCAACAACGCCGCCGCGGCCAGCGCAACGCCGGAAACCAGGACCTGCTCCCGCTGGGCTCGCTGGGCGACACCGGCAACCTGACGCGGGGCGCGGGCGAACTCGTCCAGGACACCGCGGGCAAGGCCGTCAGCACGGTGGGCAACACGGCCGGGAAGGCGGTGGGCGGGGTGCTCGGGGGCGGTGGCCAGCAGCAGCAGATGCAGGGCCAGGGCCAGGAGAAAGGGGGTGGGGGTAAAGAGGAGCAGCTGCGGTTGCGGCTGGATTTGAATCTCGATGTCGAGGTGCAGCTTAAGGCGAAGATTCATGGGGATTTGACGTTGCAGCTTTTGTGAGTTCTACCCTTGGTTTTTGGTTGGGTGTTGGGTTAGGGTTGAGCTAATTGTTTGGGTGTTTAGGAATTGAGAGGTTGGTTGAGGGTGGTTTACTTGAGCGGGGTTGTTGGGTTTTGTTATGGGTTTGATGTGTTTTTGTGGTTGAGGGCGCGATGGGAGTTTATACTCGGTTACATTCCGGAGAGCACTGTCTCTTGAGTATGGATGGTGAGTGCGAATGTACATGCGTACTGTAAGCGCGGCTCGTTTTGCCTTTCCTTTCATGTGTGCTAGTATACATCCATCCTAAATATCCCACCTCTCTCAAGGAGTGGTACTACGTATACGTATCCCCGTCTCGAGCATCTACCCCTCCCCAGAAGATAGCGTAAGCCCTTCCAAAGGTATCTGCTCCTCAGTAGTCTCCTTGCTCGTCGCCTCCCCATCCTCGCCTGATTCTCGGCCGGAAAACGAGTCATACGCCTCCTCCTCCCCAGACCACTCCCCAGACCCAGAGTCAAAGTCAGAAACATCCCCCTCGCCCCTAGATCCCCCCTCCACCCCGCCGGCCAACACTGCCGCAGCCGCCTCCCCACCGACAGCCGGCACCCGCTCGACCCGCGGCCACCCCGCCGGAACCACACTCGGATCCAGCAAGCCCACCTGCACCAACACACTGGCCTGATCCCAGTAGACATGCTCGGAATACAGCCGGCCGTCGCCGCTGCACAGCCGCGCGATGCTCACGACCACGATCCGGACCTCGCGGTGGGTGGGCGGCACGCCCGGCAGGATCCAGTCCATGGGCTGGGAGTGCAGGAAGGTCAGGAGGACCTCGTCGACGACGCGGTCGGCGCCGACGGTGCGGGAGAGCAGCTGCAGGCGCATGGAGGCGGGCCGGTGGGCGTGGAAGTTGGCCGCCCAGAAGTCCTGCAGTGGGGTGTGGCCGGTGGCGCCTTGCAGGGTTGGGGTGTACAGGGCTGCTGGGGGTGGGGCGGTGGTGTTGGCTTCGAGCCCGGAATCAGGGGGAGGCGGGAGGAGGGCGGTTGCGTTGGGGGAGAAGTATCGTGCTTCACGGGGGGAAATGTTAGCCAGGATAGGTGTCTGATGGTTGTTGAGTGCCAATAGGGTGGGTGATTCAAAAGTGAGTGAGGCTGGTGCGGTGCAAGGCACGACCTACCCTCCTGCATCTCATCCCACACCCTCTCCAGATCCACCGCGGCGACCCGCCGGAACCCCCGCTGCAGCGCCCCCAGCGTGCGACTCCACGCCACCTGCGCCGGGATCCGGCTGTACTCCTCGAGATCGTGCTCCGCGAACCCCGGCAGCGCGCCCACGTACGAGAAGGCCGCGTACCCCAGCGCCAGCCGGTCGCCGATCCCCACCCCCGGCCCCACCTGCTTCCGCACCACGGTGGCCTTGTGGCCCGTCTTCGACGGCGGGTGATGGACGTTGACCGTCTGGTTGGCCAGGTGGACGAGCACCTGCATTGAGGCCGGGTATTGGCTGGCCGGGCCGGGGATCGCCGTCGGGTAGTAGGCGATCAGCGCGCAGAGCTTGTTGGTGTTGGGGAGCTTGAGGTAGTGCGTGAGGCAGAAGGAGGCTGCGTCGCCGAAGCCTATGTTCCGGGGGTTAGTTGTTGTTGTTGTTGTTGTTGAGAAGGTGTGGGTCAGAGGGGAGGTATGCTCACTGATGATAGCGTACACCTCGCTCACGCGCAGATCATGCTTGACGGCATCGAGCGCGGCGATGTAGCTCTTCCGGTCGCTCTGGAAGGGGATGTAGGCTACCTGGAAGCCTTCTCGGCGCCAGGTCTGCAGGAATTCCTCGTCGAAGAGCTCGTCCTCGGCGGTGATGCAGAGCTGCGCCGGCTGTGCGGAGGTGGGAGACGGTTGCGCCATGGGGATGGAGAAGATATCCGGCTTGGAATTATGAGGTATTGCCAAAAAACGATTACATTGTACAGTTCAAATGTGCCTGGTAGTTTGTTAGAAGTGAGAGTCTTTTCGTGAAGCTACGGAGCTTGTGCTATGAGGTCATTCCTCCCACGCATTGAGCTAGTGTATCTCATAACAAAGCGCGTAGCCGTATGATCCTTACATCTTCAGATGGTAGCAAATGAGAAGCTCGGGTGGTCTCGTATTCATGGTTCATGACTGCAGGGTGGCGAACTTGCGCCTGGCCTTAGTTCGCTTTAGATGAGCATGTATGTCGAGTTTAGCAGCGAGGTAGAAACCAAACTATCTCCAAGATGGATAAAGCATCCGCATTGGTCCTTGCTGTCATCGTTCCTACATTAGCTGATACAATATCTCATGGCCAATGTCTGTGCTTCGCTGTACTTGCACATGGCATATAGGGGTTTGCCTGGACACATTTGAGATAATAGTAACCCCTGTTAAAATGTCTATGAGTGTCTATGAGAAGGGACCGAATTCATCATGGATCTCAGCTTGACACAGAATAAGGGCTCAATCACAGCACGCCTTAATCTAAGTATAGTCGCCCAGTACGGGAAGATGTGCCGATGGCCGATCTTGCCATATTAAGTTAGACAGTCGGACACCCGATCTGGAAAAGGTCTCGGACACTATGCCTAATCCGGACCAGGCGGAGCTATCCCGCTCTTGGTGTCCGACGCCAAACAGCATCAAATAAATAAGCTGAGTCTTCTCATATTCTCATATCAGCCAGCACAGATCACAAACTCAACTGCCTATAACGAAGCTGGTGTATCCGGACCTCCCTCAAAGACCTCCTTCTTCCAGACCCCCAACTTCTCATCCAGACCCCCAACTTCTCACGTATCACCATATCGGAAAATCCGCCGTTGTTGATCCTACATCGAAGGAATCACCCCCGCAGCTATGGGTGAGGTGAAAAGCTACGAGCTGTCGGATATCGACAAAATGGGCTTCACCAAGACTGTGAAAATCGTCTTCTTTTATGAGTTACAAGCTACCGTCGACACAGAGAACCTAATCTCCTCCTTGCTGGAAGGGATCAGAAACGCAACCCGTCAACTGCCATTCATGGCAGGAGACCTCCAGTTCGACGAAGCCGGCAAGCTCTGCAGCGTCACCACAGCTGACAGCGAAATCGATGTCAACATCCGCCGATTCGAGCCCACAGAATGCGAGCCTTTCTCTGCCTTAACGAAGGGATCATTCTCTCCAGAACTGGACCTGACCCGGTTTCTGCCAGAAGAGCCTGTCGGCAAACAGCCAGCCTGCAAAATACAAATCGGTGTCATCGACGGAGGCCTCACGCTGGGGCTGAGACTAAACCACGCAGCTGGAGACTGGACATCCCTCGATACCTGCCTCTCTCTTATTAGCCAAAGCACCAAGGCACACCTGGAAGGCCAGGCGATGCCAACGTACACCCCGGACCTCAACAGAGCCGCGTTCAACACGCCAGCACCGGACCCCGCCATCACCCGAGCAGACCAACTCGCCAAAGTCCCATTCTTCAGCGTGATCGAGAAGAGCCAATTCAAGATCAACCCACCTCCACCCTGCCGGGCAAACATCTACCGGATCTCCGAGCCCACCATCCAACGACTCAAAGCCGAATGCACCCCCCACCTCGACGGAGTCAACTACATCACCTCCTACGACTGCATCTCCGCCCTAATCTGGACAGCCATCACCCGGGCCCGCCTCCACGTCCACCCGGATAAATCCAACGCCCCAACCCGCTTCGTCCATCCCATCGACGTCCGCACGCGCGACCCAGACCAAAAGACCTCGCCCCAGTACTTCGGCAACGCGGTTCTCGGCACCCTCGCCGGTCCGCTGCCCGCCCAGGACCTGATCGCATCCGCCGACGGCGCAACAGACGCCCCCGCCCCCGCCCGTAGTTTCGCCACAGCCGCCAGCCTCGTGCGCCGATCGATCTCACGCATCGACGTCTCCTCCTTCGCCGCCATGACGGGCCTGCTGGCCTCTCTGACGCCGACAGAGACCCTCGCCCCCAACGCCGACTTCGGGGATATGGATCTGTTCATGAACACGTGGTACTCGGGCAGTGTGGAGAAGTACGATCTTGGGGCCGGGGTGGTGCCGGCGGCCGTGCGCGTGCAGGCGGGGATGCCCGGGGCGTGCGCGAGCATCTTGCCGAATTTCTCGCGCGGGGGGCCCCGTTTCTTTGATGTCTATGTGCAGGCGCCGGTGGAAGTGTACGAGGTTCTTGACGGGGATGAGCAGTTTTTGAAGCATTTTAAGCTCGTTGCGTGAGGGATTTGACTCTGGGCTGTTGAACGATGTTGAACGTGGATGTTGTTAGATTTTGTGTTTTGGTCGTCTGGATCTAGGCCGAAAGATGAAAATTGAATGCACAGAGCATTGTCGTGGTGACATAGAACTTGCTGAGAGCTTCATCTAACGCATACAGAATCACTGGCTGCGGAAGTTCGGGCTTTCCACCCGCTCAGCTAGTGAAGGTTTACCGCATTAGCTCCAGTCGGAATCTATATCTCTTTCAAAAAGCCAATCGACAAAGCCACGGCCGTACCATGTAGGTAGACTCCTCCAATGTCTGAAAGATGCCTCAAACCACTTAGCTATAGTAGCCACACTACCTTAGCCTCAAATGGAGCGTTACCTTGGCTCGTGCCGGAAATTCACTGCTCGCAGATGGAGCACACAAAGACGAAACTAGCGAACTATAGGTAGAGACCTACAACTCTTTCAAGACAACGGGGAATCCTGTGGATCACTCAGTTGCTTTTATCTTACAAGCCTTTGTCAGCGATATGATGAGCGACGGGCACAAAGATCGATGTCGGTGACCATGCGGGCCAGGCCATTCTTCTTCCTACGAACAATGAGCAAGAGAAGGAACCTTACTCTCTTATTGAAGTGGTAAATCCTCCCTCACCTCGACATATAAAAGAGTCAGCTTTGACGCATTTGGCAATGGACCATCCAACCCACTCATATTCGCCTTCAACAGGCCTATCAAGACCTGGCTATCATGAAGTACATAGGTATGTGCAGCTCCCGAACCCCCGGGATGTCAACCCCAACCCCCATACACGATGCCGCCGTCCTGTGCCTGACCGCGCTGGCGGAATTCTGGGGCCTGGGCGTCCTGGCTCCGGCGAACGCACTCGGCGACGACGCCTCCCGGGACGCATTCTACCTGGCCGAGGACGGACCGAACACGGTCGAAATCCTCGAGGAAGTGGTCGAGGAGTGCCAGGCGCTGGAGACTATTCTGGAGGAGCGAAAGACAGTTCGAGACGAAGTCGGCGACCTTCCGCCGGCGATGGCGCTGGACTTACTCTGCAAACTGGTCGACCTGGCCCAGGAGTGTCGGGACAAAGGACGCGCCTATGCGTCCGAAAGGCAAGTCGACACTGAGACCGCGTTCGACAACACGGCCAAGGATGCCTGGGCGCAGCTGAGCGGCCGGTACCGCTGGTGGGGCCATGGCCCGCCGCGCGTGCTTCTGGGAAGTGACTTCAGAGCGTTGCAGGCGCAGGTGGAACAGGCTCGCACCTCACGGGGCACGACACTTGGCAACAAAGAAAACGAAATCCTGCCCCCCTGGCTACCCGAGGAACACTCCATCGCCTGGATGCAGATCCTGCAGAAGGCGATGCGGGATCTGGCCGGCGAGGTGCTGCCCCTGATCCGGGGGATGGCGGCGGCGGTGCGACGGACCTGGTTCCGCGAGGCCGATGCGCATTTCTTTCCCCGGCGGCATCGCCAGTTCGACTACCAGTGTATGGCGTATGTCCTCAGCCGCAGGCAGGACTATGTCATTGAGAAGGAGCAGCAGCCACCGCAGCGGCCAATCTCGCAGTCACTGCAGGCTCGGAACGAGCTGCTCCAGGACGTGCTGGTGCAACGACACCTGATCGTGAGCAACCTGGTGCGGCGCAATCGAATCCTGTACGCACAGGAGGAGCGCGGGCATGCCGTGTACTCGGCCGAGCAAATGCGGGCATTCAGGGAGCGGGCATTCATGGAGCCCGGCGAGGCCTGGCCCGCGCCGCCCGCGGCCGGGTACCTGCGCGGCTTCTACGAGGACAGGCCCGATGAACTCTGCGTGGAGCAGATCTCGACACACGGTCTCACCTGTCCGGGCTGCCTGGAAGTCCAGCGTCCCGAGGTGGCCCGGTCGTTCGAGGCCTGGAACGCGCATATCGCGGAGGACCTGTGTCCGTACATCTGTCTCGAACCCACCTGCCGGGACCCCGTGTTTTCGAGCCCCTCGGCCGACGGTTGCGCCTGGAAAGAGCATATGCTCAACGAGCATTGCTCGAAGCTCTCGGCTTGTCCGTTCTGCAGCTGGCCCCCCAATCCCGAGGAGGTCGACCCGGAGCACCTGCTGGCGCATATCGCGATTGAGCTGCAGTTCTTTGCCTTGTTGGCATTGCCTTGGGCGACGCGTGACCTGCAGAAGAAGAATGCGTTCAAGCAGTGGTATGACCTGCGATACCCCAGCAAGGCGGTGGACAGCCCCTATTACCCCGTGGAGTTGCTTCAGCTCCAGTACTTCTACGAAGATTGTTCTGACGGGGTCTATGAGGAGCTCAGCTCCGAGGCAGAGACAGAGTAAGTCTGCTTCAAATTGTCTGTACTATGCTGTATTCCTGAATTTAATCCTTAAAGATATAGATCAAATTTTGTGTAAGATGTTCATTCTACTTCGAAAGCCTTCAAAAGGAAAAGAAAAGAAAGAAAAAAGAGAAAAAGAAAAGAATGTTTGGTCTCTTCCAGTGGAAAGGAGGAAGAAGCATGAGGAAATGGTCGAAGTCTTTGCTGGAAATCATCAACGCTCGCCTAAATTCGGGCCTTGAAACCCAATTCCTCTCACATCGTCTTTCCCAGGCCTGAGAGAAGCCAACAGTTTGTGCCCTCAAGTACAAGTAGCGCTAACACTCTAGTATGCTGTCTACAGCGTGCTCCTTCCGACCCGCATGACGTTAACAGCAATCTTGCGGTTCACATCTATGCGGGATTTGCAATCTGACCAGTGAGATGTCTGCGTTGTCATGTTCGAGACCACCATTGCCGAGTGGGTCATGGCGATTTCTTGTCTGTTTACTATATTTTGCTTTTCCGAAAGTACAGAATTAGGTTACTCCCGTCGCTTAAACAGCCACCATGCATGCTGGAAACTACGGCGACGGCTGGACTATGCAAGAACGCTCCTGGCGCGTGATGTTGCAATCTGCCTGTTACACCTCAACCTTACTTTCCTTGGTCTCCCCCTTGCCAAGAGGCTTGTTAGGCTGATTTTCTCCCTAGAGTCACTGAAATAGATTGCAGTATAGTAGTAATGGTCACGATGACCGCCCAGGCTAGTTGCCGCGAAGCTATGTCCTAAGTCCATGGCTTGACGGGAGCACAACCACCTAAAACTGACAGCTAACGAAATTGTATTCATCACCAAGCCAGAAGAGAACACGGATACTCCGATTAGAAATAGCACCAGAGCAAACACACCTGTACAGACACGTTGGGTTCATGCAAAGCGTGCAGAGTGGTTTCGTTCTGAAACACGGTCAATGCCGGCATCCAGCGCTTAGAGCGGCAAGAACGGATATTCCGTCCCCAACGGTTCATCTCGGTGCTCGTGCCCTACTGAGTAGTGCGTGTTTGCTTGAGTCCCAAAAGTACATGAGTTCCGAGGCTTCGGTGATGCGGCAAGTCTGATTGGTAAATACCCCAGCAGGGTCTTTGTTGCGCGTCGGTCGCCTTTCCTTTTCCTGCTCAGGGGCTGACGATCACCCGACCCGGTACTTTTGTCGGGGCGTTATCGCCAGCAACGGCCGCCGATGGTGCCGCGATAAGCCCTATTCCTATTCCCGCTGAGCAGTTAGGGGGTTCATCCTGGCGAGGAGAAAGTGATGTGTCGTAGGTTCTTTGGGAGTCTGGATTCTTGGTTACTCACCTGCGGTTCTGCAGGGAGCTGGGTTGGTTATATTAGGAGATCGAAGCTACCCTCATCCAACTTATGGTTTGAGTGTCGAAAGACTCAGATTGAATGACAGGAGGGTCTTTCAGAATACCTACGCAAAGATGAGTAGCAAAGACAAAAAGGTAAGTTAGTGCCAACCTACAAAGAGGCATTCAGATAAGCTAACGCAGCTAGACACCTTCGACGACATCGAAGCCTCACGAAAAGACAGCCCCACAGCACTCGACGGTGAATGATCAAAACGACCCCACCCTGAGCACCAATCTACACCTAAGTCGATCGTCCAAAGCTTCCGAGCAGCGCTCATTCCTTGATATGCACCGCCAGAACCAGGAGCTCAAGGCCATGCTATCGGAATGCAACACCACTCTACAACGGTGCATTGCAGAGCTCGATAAAAGCTTAGCCGAAAAAGAAAAGAAGCGACGGAGATAACGAAGGCCGACTATGCTACAATCTTGTGACGATCCATCGAAGACGGATGCCGACGTCATTTTCATAAGTTACCTCCCCGCGTATGCCCCACGATTTACAGCGGCACCCAACGTCGCATGGTCGCTGCTGTTTTGCATTGGAATGATACCGCACCCGGTATTTCGGAAGTTACTTCATTGTACTGTATAGTCAAACTACAGTGGTGACACCGCAGGTTCTTGCTCTATCTGACTGCGGACCCACTTGGAATGACGAAAGTGTTGTACTGAATCATTTGTTGATGTGTAATGTATCACATTCTTGATTCTGAACTCTTTGATAAGCATAGGTTTTTACAATTTGTACTACTCACCCACAAATTCAGTGCTTCTAGGCCTGTAAGATGCATATTAAGGATATTCAATCACATGTGACAGGATAAAGTGGATCGACGACCCTAAATGATGACCGATACTAGCCTCTTATCTCCGCCATCCCAACCAGCCATCGCTATCTCCGCATTCTCCGAAATATCGTCTAGATGCTGACCCGCCCAACCATTGCTAGGTTGTGGAACAGGTTATCCGACTAGTCGACCCAAAAAAGCACGCGGACTCAGCAGGCCTCTTCTCAATTTAGACCTGAGGACCCTGGATACTGATCCCCACTTACAAGGTAAACTGACGTCAATGGCCCCTCTTGCTTAGTTCAATGAGCCAATTCAACCCAGAAGAGCTTGGCACGACATACTATAAAGCAACCCATCTAGCCGACAGATTGCTCAATCATTGTTTTCACTGAGTTTTATCAGCAACCAGCAACAAGCCAACACCACAAGATGACCGACAAGGCGAGCGACAACAGCCCCCTCTTCCACCACCGCCAACTGGCGCCGGCAGCCGCCGTCCGCGTCTCACCCCTCTGCCTGGGGACGATGACCTTCGGCGGCCGCCAGCAGGGCCGGTACGGCGACTGCACGCGGGAAGACGCATTCGCCATGCTTGACCACTTCCACGAGCAAGGCGGAAACTTCCTCGACACGGCCAGCGGGTACCAGGAGGGCGAGTCGGAGGTGCTGGTGGGGGAGTGGATGGCGGCGCGGCAGAACCGCGACCAGATCGTGCTGGCCACGAAATACACGACGGCGTACATGACGCACCACCGGGACCGCATCCAGTCCAACTACGGCGGCAACAACGCCAAGTCCATGAAGGTCAGCGTCGAGGCCTCCCTGCAGAAGCTGCAGACCTCGTACATCGACCTGCTGTACGTGCACTGGTGGGACTACACCACCTCGATCCCGGAGCTCATGCACGCCCTCAACGACCTCGTCGTCGCCGGCAAGGTCATCTACCTCGGCATCTCGGACACCCCCGCCTGGGTCGTCACCAAGGCGAACCAGTACGCCCGCGACCACGGGCTCCGCCCCTTCGCCGTCTACCAGGGGATGTGGAACGCGGCGATGCGGGACTTCGAGCGCGATATCATCCCCATGGCGCGGGAGGAGGGGATGGCCCTGTGCCCCTACGGCGTGCTCAACCAGGGCCGGTTCCAGACGCGCCAGGGGTTCCAGGAGCGGGAAAAGCATAACCCAGGCCGCAAGTTCATCCCCACGTCCGAGCACGATAAGAAGGTCTCGGCCGTGCTGGAGGATATCAGCACCGCTAAAGGCGCGGAGATCGTGAGCGTGGCCTTGGCCTATGTGATGCAGAAGGCACCCTATGTGTTCCCCATCGTGGGGGGCCGCAAGGTCGACCACCTCAGGGGCAGCGTGGCCGGGTTGAGTGTGGCGCTCAGTGATGAGGATATTCAGAAGATCGAGAGTGCGTATCCGTTTGACTTCGGGTTCCCGCACACCTTTTTGAGCGGCTCGATGTTCGATAACTCGACGCCGCGGATGGCGGACAAGCCTGGGGACGTCTGGTTGACCAAGAATTTGGGCAAGTTTGACTGGGTGGAACCGCCCAAGCCGATCAGGCCGCTTCAACAATAGATGCTTGCCTGAGGTTTGCGTGTTGGGGTTTGTTCTGTGCTCGTCCTGCGCGGTCGAGAGCTTCAACTTGACATAGTGTATGAGATGACCAGCGTCAGAAGTAGTTCAATTAGAGAAATGGAAGATTGGAACGAAAGAAAGCGCTGTAAAGGACAACAATACTTCTGCTTTTGCTTGTGATTTTGTAAGTGACTAGGGCTAACGGGTCCGGTGCTAAAAGGGCACTAAAATTCCACTCAGACGCTAACCCTCACGCTATACTAATTCCTCTCCTCGCCTTCTCCTCCCGCACCGACCTTACTTTGACTTACTCTCTTCAAGTTCCTTGAAGGATCCTCGCGAGCACTCGAACTGTAAAATCATATGGTCAAAATCCAGCTCCTAGTGCATAGTCCCCGTTCCTGATCAAGACCAATGGATCAAGTCCTCGCCCTCCCCGAGCTCCTCGAGCCCATCCTACTGGCTCTCGATCTCCGAACTCTCCTAACCTCAGCCCAGCGGGTCTGCACCCAATGGCGAAGTATCGTCCAACGATCCTCCTCCTTGCAGGAAAAGCTGTTCTTCAAGCCCCGAGCAACAGCCAAGAGGCATTATTCCCCGGAACCGATCTTCAACCCTCTTCTGACGACAGCCTTCCCCGCAATCTTCCACGCTGTCTCCCCTCACCGCGGCCGGGAATTCAACATCGCCGACCTAGAACTCATCACGCACCCGGCTAAGCGAACAGCGTACCTGCGCCCCGAAGCGAGCTGGCGCTCCATGCTCATTCAGCAGCCGCCGACATCCTCGTTCGGCATCGTGCAACGCAGTGGCGGCCAACTCGGGTATAGCGGCTCATATGAAATAATGGTATGCACGCTGCCCCCTTCCAAGACTCGGAAATGAAACCCACTCCGTTCTCCCTTGGATTGGCTGTAAAGGAACACAAGCAGAAAGAAATAAGAAAGGTGGGGGCGAATTTTGCTGACAGTAGACTGTTTTGCAGAAGACGGAAGGTGGTTTGCGCATGGAAGCACTGTTCGAACTGCTATTCTTCCACCATGACATCGACGCTTACAACTGCCCCGACGGGATCATCTGGTGGAGCGAGGGCGCTGCGCCGAAGGTCGGGAGGTTGCTCGAGCCCTTCGCGGAGGAGGAGGGCGAGAAGGTAGAACAGCCCGGGGTGCTGGTGCATGTGAGTTTCTTTGCCACTTGTACGTCGACGGAATCCGAGCTGGAGGATGAGGATTATCGGGACGTGCTGAATGCGGTGCGGGCTGGGTACCAGGCGCTGAAGTTGAAGCCGAAGGTCTTGGCGGGGCCCGAGTGGGAGAGGCAGACGTGGGAGTATTCCAGAACCTGGGACTGATTTGTTGGTGGTCAAGCGTACTGTACAGTGCACAAGACAAGTGTTTTGAAAAATTGTTCTTAGGAGGGAGGGGTGAATCTCATTGCAGTAGAATGTGGAAATGTGGGCTGGAAAGAGGGATGGTAGGAGATAGAAGTATAGTCTGGTTCTCGCAGGAGAACGAAAGTCAATGCGCTGATTAAAGATTGTAACAAAAACTTTGTCCTTGCTCTTCCAGGACCAGAGAAACGAGAGACACAACCGGTATAAGAAAAGCACAAGCAAATCCAGCAGATTCATCTTCTGCATCACGACATCTTCCATTCACAGCGAAACCCTAGTCAATTATCTTCTTGAGCTCCGAGATCGTCCCCACAGGGATATGAACGACTCCAGCAGACCGGATCCCCTGATCGAAGATGTCATCGAGGGCGCCGATATCGCTTGGGTCAAGGAAGCTGGATGTGTTGCCCATCTGCGTCCACGTATTCACGGCACTATGGCGATCTCTTTGTCAGTACAATTGTGATGGGCCTCGAGTAGGCAAACAAGAAATACATACCCCGCAACCAAATCCTCAACGGTGACCCCACCCCAGCTGCTTCCATCCAACTCCCCGATCCCCGGAAGTTTTTTGACAGTCGGATCGCGACAGAGCTGACCGCCCTGCGAGTTCGACTGACAGTACCGATCGAGGCTCACAACATCCACGAGATAGTAGATGTTGTCGTTGTAGCACACGTATCCCGACTTGGCTACGCTGCTGGAGATATAAGAGGAGAGTGGGCTGGATTTGTCGCATGTCGACTGTGAATCAACCACCCTTATAAAAGACATGGGTAGTCAGTATCCCCTCTGCATTGGGTTATTGACAAGAGGACTCAACTTACACGGCATTATGAGTGTCCGGCGACAGAGTCCAAGTCAGCGGAATCAGCAGACCAAATACGGCCTTCTCCACCATTGCAGCAATGTCCGAGTCGCTGGGTGTGTCGAAGCTGGTTTCCAGCAGCTTGCCGTCGGTCATCAGGTCGTGCAGAATATCAATGCTGTTAGAGGTCCCGTTGAACAGGCTTTCGTTCATGCTGTCGATGGTGCTGTACCAGAGCTGGACGATCGCTACGGAAAGTGTTAGGTCGTGGGTGCATATATAGTGGGCGTGTGCCCGTTTTTAGAGTGTTCTTACTGTCTAGTCTTTTCTCGAGCGTGTTCTCGACTCCGAGTTCCAGGGGTGTGGAGCTAGAACGCAGTCAGTCTTTGAGTCCTCCGGGTTGGATTTATGCCACTCACTCGGTAGCAATGACATCTTTGATGATAGTGACTCCATTCGCTACTAATGCATTGGTAGTGTCCTTGAGGTTGCTCAGCTGAAGGGGGTTCTCCGAATAGTATGGTATTTTGGTAAGTGCTATAGAGAAGTGGTCAGCTGAAACAAGCCCTCACCCCCATATAGACGAACGCAAGGTTTACCATAGTTGAAGATAGGACTGGTGAACAGCGCAAATCCGAGGCCAAGGAAGTCCATGACAAGGTTGTCGGTGAGGGTTGAGGAGGGGAATTCGGCAAACGTTGTCGTCAGATCTCCGATTTGATTAGTCACAGAAGCTTGAACTCTTGTGAGTGCAGTGTGTGTGTTCCAGAAGAACTTCATGGCATGGTCAGGCGATGAGATTTCTCATAATAGAAAAGGTCTGTGTACAACGTACATTGTGGATAGACACGTAACCATTGAGGATGAAGTAGCCCGCTGGATGGTTCACATCGTCACATTGGATGAAACTGTCGCAGCCCACGCTATCTGCCATCTTTGAACAGTCCATGTGCTCAGGGCCGTGGACTAGGTTGCTGATCTGGATACAGGCTTAGCTCACAACAATCTTTGACAAGAACATAAAACGAACCTCGTTGGTGTAGTTCAGTCCTCCCTCGTGCGGGTGACTCAACCAGTATTGATTCAGGTCAGTCCACGCAGACTCGGTGAAGATTGTGTTCCAGCGGGTTGCTGCATCATAGGACGCGTTCTCAACTGTATACCAAGTGCAGTCGACGTTGCGCCAGGCCGAGGGACCATTTCCATCGAAAACCGTGCTCTTGCAACTGCTACCGCTGCAGGTGGTGTCTTCAGCCTTGGAGATGGCGGTACACTGCTTAGTCTTGCTCCCGTCCTCCAGGGGTATGACCTGATAGTTGGAGTTGTAGATGAGGTTTGGACACCCGGTATCGACACAGAGCCCTCCGGTGGCGGACATGACCACCTCCCCGGAGGGGTTAATCACTTGGAGGAGCTGGGCTCCGGATACTTTGTTCGCGCTGTTGCCCCAGTTGAGTCCCGCGTGAAGTACGCCCTCATGGTCCACCTCGCCACTGATCTTGTATTTCCAACCCGTACCAGCGTCAGGACTCAGAATGACCGACCACCAGACGTCGTCGACTCCAGCCGCGAACCCGTCGGGCTTTTCGTAGTATTGACCTGCTGACTCATAACCACAGTCCACTGAATCAACAAGAATGGTCTTATACCACATGGCTCCAGTCACCTGTCCAGTCTGTGGTGTCATCTCAGTAGACTTCTTTCCATTCTTGTATGCTTCGACAAACGATGCCACAAGAGGCTGCCAGGCCGTGTGAGACCAGAATTCTTGATTTGCGTAGAACCACGGCTGAGTGTCGTTGTTTTGCTCGGTCCACAGATTTCCGATGTAGTGGCTTTCGGGCCCGTCATTCTGCACTTGTCAACTATCACGTCTTGCAAAACTTGGTAGGCAGAGTCTCTTACCCAGGTGATGAACTGAACATAATCAGGCTGCGGGTCCATATTTAGGATGTTATCCATGCGCTTAACAAGGTTTAAATCACCTTGCCGGTAGACATTTGCACCGTACTGATGTGAAGTTAGCATGAAATCTTCGCCTATGATAGCCCCTGAATCGCTCACCGCATTCTTATACTGAAGAGGACTCAGACCTAGTTCCGTTAGCAGAGTGTCTTCACGCCCAGTACAGCAGTATCAACTTACCCATCATATATGGCTTGCTGCGATTGTGGGCTCCAGCCATAGGCAAGACATCCACACTGACGTCTCCAGCATATAAGCCACCAAAGCCTTTCCTCTCGGGCCAGGAGGTCTCCCAGCTGAAGATACCGTCTACGACATCACCCCAGTAGTCCCTATGACTCTCAGTACACGAATACGACTTTCGGCAGCAGGGGAACTTACCACCAAGCATCAGCAGCCTCATAGTAACCGTCCGTCTCGTCAAAGTCCGGCATGAAGAACATGTCGTTCGCAAGTCCGTTCTTCCATTCTGGATGCAGCCAGATTAGCCCGCCGTAGAAACCCACGATGGGAGGTGGAAAGACCCACCTGTCCAGTTCGTGTTGTGGAATCCACCAGAAGAGAATGCTGCACATCAGCAGCTTTAGTAACGAACGTCTCAAGTTAGAGAATAAGCCCCAGGTACTCACTGCTGATCAGAGCCTTCCCGTCAATCTGGTAGTAGGCAGAGCTGCCTTTGTAGCCATCCCAGACCCATTGGTAGTCAAAAGGCTGCTCGAGTTAGCCCTGTGTCCGGAGAATATACTATGGCGGAGAATATGTTACCCCCTTGCAGGACGTCTTCTTCTTGTAGCAAGCATCGCCGGAAGCATAGACATCCATGCTGACGTAGAGTTTGAACCCGACGGACTCTGCATACGGAAACATGTACGATAGCGTGTCCGACACAAAGTCTTGGGTTGCATCCCCAATGTTGAGGGCGAAACCATCGAACCTATATGTCTGTCAGCGAACCGTGATGGGAAGATCGAGCGGATTCAGGAGACTCACCCGAGGGCCTTGGCATCATCGATGTCCTTTTGTGCGTGTTCCTGCGTCACCGTACCAACCTACGATACAAAGTTCCAATCACCAATGGGTTCATTCACCATGACTCAGACTCTATACTCACCATGTAATGTGCAAAGACTGCTCTAGCGGCAGCCTTGTGCAATAGCGTTGCCGCTGTGGCGAGAGTTGCGACACCCTTTAGACCAAGCATGTCAACTGACGGGCAAGAAAGAGCTTGAAGAGGAAAGTATCTTTTGGATGCGGATGCGGCGACCGCGCAGACTATATACCTGCTCCTAGCAGCGGTAAATCGCCGCACTTGCGAGATTGGAGGTCTTGTCTGCAAGCGTGACTAGACTCAGGCCATACGCTGCAGCCGACGTCGGTGAAACCCGAAAGGATGAAGGGATCTGTTCTGCTCATGGCTCGAACCGTGCTTTTCGACTGCGATCATGCTATCTAAACTGCTAGCATTTCGCTCGAGGGGGGTAGTGGGGCTGCTTTGGTACATTACTGGATAAGCGGCGATTGATTTGTATATAATAGAGAGTTCTGGCCAATGAACTCATTGTTTGCAAGGGGGTTTGAGGCTCTGGTCCCTTTGTTTCGTGCGTCAAAAACGTGGTTTTGATTGCACTTCATTTGAAATACTTAAGAACCAAGCCCCTTAATCAACGTGGAGTTTCTCCACCTCCCAAATCCGGCCCAACATACGACTCTCACTACAGCCGTGGGGCATAAAGAAGGGCGGGCACTGTAGCCGGGGGATATTGTCCCCCAGGGTCCAATTCTCTTCTCATCACCCGAAAGTAATTTGGAACAGAGACCCCTTAGCCTGGAAGAGTATTGGGGCTCCACTGAACCATGATGACCATCGCAGATACAGCCGCCCGTGTCGATGGTGTATGCTAAAGTTACACAAACTTGATCCCTCCTTGAAAGCTCGAGGGTTTGAGGGGGGAAAAAAAAGGCAGGGGGGGAGCTTTCTGAAGCACAGTACCACGGTATACACAAGGTCAGTTCTGCGAAAAGAACGCACGAGCTCAGACAATCTTTATTTATAACTAGATTAAGCGATTTGAGTTCAATTTGAGTGGCAAGATGGCCGAGTGGTTTAAGGCGTCAGATTTAAGAAATTGACCTCTGATCTTCGAAAGAAGGCGCGGGTTCGAACCCCGTTCTTGCCAACACCATAGCTTCATTTTTAATTTTGGCACACCAGTCCACCACCTAGGCAATCAACTCACCAGCCATCCTTTTTGCCTCAGTTTGTCCTACACTTGTCACCCACCTTCAAGCACATAGAGATGAATCGTAGCCTACATAGGTCGAAGGCCGTCGCCAAGGCAAGCCGGACCCTGTTGACAAGACTTTTCTTGAATAGGGCACTGGCTCGTTCGGCCGTCTGGTGATATGGAATAGTAAAGGTAGTTGAGCCAGAGGAGTGCTGTTCAGACGATAGGTCACATTGTGTTCATATGACTAGCCTACTTAAAAGCACTTTACCGTCTCTTGACGCTTTGAAGTTTGGGTCCTTGGCCATGCCAAACACTTCCCGGCGGTTTCCGCATTGGCAGGCCCATATACATAAGGGAGATCCCTGTGGACACAGTAACGAATTTAATTTGACAATTTAACAAACATTGCTATCGCTAGGAGGTTCTGTCATGAGAGAATAAGAAAAGAAATGAGTTGTAGGAAACCCAAGACAGGCAAATGGGCCCGTGACATAGAAGGGATAGAGTATTGTGAAGGTAGCAAAATCAAGGTCTTGGAAAGGTAAACTAGCTAGGTCAAAAATCGCACAGTTTGTCTTGAGAATCCTTCCCCACCTCAGACTTATCTTTCTTGTGATACATCACCCAGCCCGCAACGGGTTGTAGAGAGTCCAAGCCCGTAGTCTCGTCACCAAAGGGCTCCTCCAGTGGCCGACCGCTCGATTTGGCATCAATCCCGATCATCCCCGCCACCATCATCGTCTCATAGTCCACCCCATTATCATTGACATGCAGCGGCACCGAGGAGAAACCCGGGGGGGTAGCCGACGTGTTGATGTATGGATACCGTACGCCGTCCAGCTCACACTTGATCGTCCCCTCATGCAAGCCCGTGTCGGGGATCAACTGGCCCTGCGCATTCCAGAAGCAAAACGCCGTGATCCAACCCGACAGAAAGTCCTCCCCACTTCCCGGAATGAGCCGATGCACGCACCGACCCCAGAACTCCCGCGCCGCGGGGCCCGTGGGATCGTCAAAGCAGGCCACGAACCGGGTCAGCACCGGACGGAGCAGCGCCGCGAACCGCGCCGGCTCATCCCCCAACGCGGGCAGCCGGTCCAGCTTCTCCACCAGCATCTCCCAGTCCCGCCGCTCGCCGAGCATGGTCACGGTGGGGATGCCGCAGAGCAGGAAGGCCGAGAAGCTGAAGTACTTCTGCATGCTCCCCATCAGCAGAATCGCTGCCACGACGCGGTCGTTCTCGGTGGTGGTGCTGAACTCGGGCATGACCCAGGCGCGCAGGTCCGGGTCCACCACGTTATTCTGGATCGCAGTCGACAGGGCGAGCGCAATCGCGCCGAAGTCGACCGTCTCCAGGGTCCCATTAGCGTACACCCTGAGCTCCTTGCGGCCATCGTGGGCGACGAAGTGTGCGCGGAGCTTCTCGGCGTTCGCGTTGATGTAGAAGGAGACTTGGCTGAGGATCGCGAACCAGATGTCTTCGGGACGGACGGTGAAGTCGTGGTGGTGGCAGTAGGCGTAGAAGAGGGCATCGACGAAGCCGTTGCTTGCACCGGTGACGTGGTTGCTCTCTAAAGGGTGGGAGAAACTACTTCGGATGATGCGCTGGCTGTTGTTGTGTTCTTCGTAGCAGGACTGCTCAAAGAGGATGTCGTCGCTCGTCACGCGCTCTCTGTGCCATTGTCGGGTGCTGTGGTCTGCGGTGCGGATTGTGACGGGCATCTTGGAGCTTAGCTGATAGTTCGACTGTGTAGGATGTATGATCTGATGTGCTGGATGTAGGTTTGGATGTGTGTTGAGGAAGAAATGGATCAAGAGAGATGCTGAGGGGTATAGATAAACACCGCAGTGCTGTGGCTGATTTCGTTTGTGTTCAGCCAGCCACTGAGTGACCCCTAGTGTCTAACTGGCCATGGGAGCTCACCGCCTCAGCTGCCGCGTGTACAGTGGCTCAGTGGAACTGCGCTCCACTAGCAGGCTGTGGATAAGGTGGTTCCATCGGTTAGGTAGATCTTTCTCAGATTGCCTGGAATTCACCACATGAGGTAATCCCCGTATTGCCATTGAACTCAAGCATATCATCTCTCTTGTTGTTTGTTCTACTGCTTCTCTTTCTCTCTTCTTCCCGCCCTCTTCCTATTCCATTCTTCTTTTGCACATTCATTTTCAAGTTGGGTGTTTTATGACGAAGGTGATCACAAGGTATACAACCACTGGGCCCAAGCCACGGATATATTCGATCAGGTCATGTTCGCTGCTTGTCTATTCTTTCTTCATCCTGTAAGCGGCCGAATTTATTGAGTTGGAGTAGAAAGTATTAGAATTCGTCCTTAGTCCTTGTGTAACCTACTTACCTCACCTGTTGCACCGAGTCTTGGTGCCCGGTTGCTGGATCTGTGATCTCTCAAACCATGTAATAAGTTTGTTCTCAATGGTACCAATATAGAACAGTAGAAGTAGAAAGTGCAAGTGTGATTTGGGGTTCAAATCTCGGTTTATGTAAGATTTCAAGATCTCAAGCTGAAGGACTAGCATTGATATTCACACGGTATACTCCGTACCCCGCATTGCATTGCGGGGTAATCCTCACTCCGGATAGACTAACCCTCAATATCCGATCCCACCATTCACTATCAGTCCTCAAGATATTCCAGCATCATCCGCTACATGCCACTGGTCTCCGACTCTGAAGCCCACCGGAAACGGGTCGGTAGGATCCAACCCCACCTGGCGAAACCCGGTGATCCACGCACTGCCCATGACGACCGGAAGCACCGCCTCGTACTGGCCCACCCGCGTGGTCCCCTCAATCCAGCACTCAAAGCTACTGCCGATAATGCTGCGGTGCTGAAACTTCTCCCCAGCTTGCAGCTGACCCCGCGCATGCATCACCGCCATGCGCGCTGAGCTCCCCGTTCCACAGGGACACCGATCAAATCGACCCGGCGACACCACGACCGTATTCACAGCCGTCAAATTACCCGTTGAAGCAGACCCAGTCAAGGGCTCAGTGAACTCCAGAATACTGACCCCTCGAATCTGCGGGTTGTCCGGGTGCACGGGCACGAAGTCACTCTGCTGCACAGCCTGCTTGATGCGCTCCCCAACCTCAATCAACTTCGGCCCATTGCGATTCTCAATCTTCAACCCCCCGGCAATCTTCGTCGCATCGACAATGGCATAGATCATCCCACCCCAGGCAATATCCACAGACACCGTCCCCAGCCCCGGGACCTGGACGGGGAGATCCAGCGCAAAGACAAAGGAAGGCACGTTATGGAACGCGACGGCGGTGCATTTCCCATTCGCGCAGTCGGCGGTGACCGCCACGGGGCCAGCCGCGGTATCCAGCAGAAGCTCTGTGACGGGCTCGTGCATCGCCACCATGCCCGTGTCCAGCAGCACGGTGGTGGTGCAGATGATGTTGCCGCCGGACATGGGCGGGTACTCCTCGCTCTCCATGATGAGGAACCCCGCGTCGGCCTCGGGGTTGCACGGTGGCAGGACGAGGTTCATGCACATGGCCGGCCGGCCGCGGGGCTCGTTCAGCAGCAGCTGGCGGATGTGGTCCTCGCGGTCGCGGAAATGCGCCAGCTTCTCGTACATGCTGCTGCAGCCGGGCGGGTCCAGCACGCCGCCCACGATCACGTCGCCGACCTCCCCGGCGCAGTGGCAGTCCACGATGCTGATGGTGCGTTTGAAATGCATGGCTGTGAAGACAGATTGTGCTTGGATGTTGCCATGGTCTGTTCAGCGCGACAATGGGCGATTTATAGAATGGTTGTCGTTATCGCGGGCGGCGAGAGGGCGGCGGCGGCTGCACTAACCTGCTTTTTCGGACCTGCAGTGCGGGGGAGGGCTAGGCTTATCTACAGATAGCGTACACTAACTAAAGGCACACTGTGGTACATTCTTCTCCAAAGGCTCTAGTGGCTTCGGGCTTCTCCTTTGTCTTCGTGGAGCTGTCCGGGGGCGAAGTGCAAACCTGTGGATTGGTTGATATGTGTAGGTATTTCCCCGCCGCTCATCTTGCCTTTCAATCCGACCGTGAGGGATGCTTCTGACTTCTGGAAGCCTGTTGCTGATAAGGGGCACACTTCCATCAGAACCAAAGGTATTCAACCATGCAGTAAATATAAAGACTCGCAGATTGTTTTCTGAGACGGATGTTTGGTTGCCCTCGGCCTCCTTAGAGCTTCACTAGCCACCCCCACGGTACAGGAATGGAGGAAAGATGGCAACCTTCGTAATATTGGTGTACTATACCTCAAGCTCATTTGACTATGCACTTCTCGAGAAAGAGCAAATAGAAACCACCTGGCCTCGGTTACAGTCGCCATAAGGTTGGTTGAAAGGGGTGCATAGGACGGGAAAGTTCATGGTGCCTTCACCCGCGAACCGCGGCTCGGAGATCGTCCGCACAGGGGCCAGATGGAAACAACCGGACCTAAGTCTTAATAGCCTGTTCGTAGAAGCGATCAAATGAACGCGCATCAGACGTCGGTTTCCTAGCCTGTCGACCGCAGTATGCTACATGCGTATTATGGCATACATTGCAGCTTGGACAATAGACAAGGAAAACCAAGACATCGAACAGATCTGCGGTGGTAGGCCTTTGCGATCATATTTGGAGTTCGGTTTTGCATATATACAAGTTGATACGGCTCATCATCATTAATACATATGGACAATATATACAACAGTGCTTCCATTTTAACGGAAACCGAGCATCTACAATGCCAAGAGCAGGGCCACGAAGGACACACCCACCACGAGAGACGCGAAGTCAGTGCGCAATGCAGGGGCCCAGTTCTCCTTCTTATCGTCGGAGTCACTGTCACTGTCACCGTCACTCCCACTGCCCTTGCCACTGCTCCCACTGCCGCTACCGCTCTTCCCCGTCGCGGTCGCGGTCGCGGCGCTCGCAGTCTGCGTGTTCGACGTCCCCGTCACCTGGGGCACGGCAGTGGCTCCCGTCCCGATCTCCAGGACATGGTCGGGCCCCGGGTTGGTGTTGGTCTTGGCGAGGTGAATCTCGTTGTTAGCGAGGTCGTAGACGACGTAGGCGCTGCGCAGGAAGGTATCGCCCAGCAGATAGATGCCGCCGCTGGCGGTCTCGCTTTCCGGGGCGATGCCGAAGGCACAGTACCCGAAGCTGGCTTCCAGGAGCATGTCGCTCAGGGGGATGGAGAGGTTGAAGCCGGAGAAGGCGAAGACGATCTCGTAGTCGCTCTTCTTGGCGGTGTCGCACTTCAGGACGGCCAAGCCCTGGCTCTCGTAGTACTCGCCGCCCACGGCGTCGATGATGTCCAGGGCGGTGCCAGTAGGGAGGTAGGTCAGCGAGGTGCCGCTGTCCAGAACGCTGACGGCGGGGAAGGCGGTGTTGTTGACGCTGATCGATTTCCCGGCTTTGGTGACGTGCACGCCGCTCAGGTTGACGGCCAGCTCCGAGTACTCGCCTTGTTCGGCCTGGATGGGCAAGGTGTGCAGACTGCCGACGTACTTGGCCGTGTTGATCCCACCGAACAGGATCGTGCCCTCGCCCGCGTCGATGTCGTCCAGCCACAGGCTGTACGCCGCGGATTTGATGTAGCCCTGGTTCACCAGGGCCTCCGGCAGGTTCGCGTACCCCTCGTCGTTGCGGAGGTCGGCGTACTCGTTGCTGGCGTATCCGATGCCACATACGCCCTCTGTGGGTTTCGTGGTCAGTTGAGGGGGAAAACAATAAAGAGGAAGAGGAGTCGGTCGGTCGCAGAGGGGCTACTCACGTTGGGTACTGCTCTCTTCAGCCAGACCGAACTGGAAGTCGGTTAGGGTTACATTCCCGAAGGCGACGGTGTCGGTCACGTAGTCTCCGATGGCCCCGCTTCCGTCCACATACATGATGGCGAACTCATCGTTGACGACCTTGAATGTGGAGGAGGAGGATGATTCGAAGACGCCATATGGGTTGTCGGAACTCGAGTTCCCTGCGTTGACCCAGAGGTCGCTGCTGCCGGTGTCCAGAATCACTTCCACCGCCTGTGAGGGGGTGCCGAGGTTCAAAGTGATCGCATAGTACGTTTCCTGGAGCGATTGTTAGAAAATCAACATTCCACCTGCCAGAATGGGAGCTTACTTCGTTGTCGATATCTGTCTCCGGCGCTGATCGTTTGTGGCGAGCATGGCTCAGGCCCTGTCGCCGATGGATATCATACTGAACTGTAGCGGGCTGGGCGCGCTCGTGCAGAGTGAGAGCACCCGTTGATTGCGCTAGACAGGCCAACGAAAGGAGAAGAGTGTTCCTCATGATCGACTGCTGGGTTGACTGGCAGGGTAGGTGATGGTGTCGATCGAGCTGGAGGGTGTAGAGGCACAATACAGAGGATGCAGGGGGGTTTTGAAGGGTGCGCCTGCGCCTGGTTGATCGCTTAGACTTCCACCAACGGTCCCGGAACTGGCACGCTTGAGTCTTGGAGCCCCCGCTAAGTATACCTAGTACCAAAACTAAGCCACAAGAGTGATAAAAGGCCTTGGCTATGGGGCTATGTAACCTTGCACTTGAACCCTTCGACCCTTTCTCGACGATTTGACTTTGCAGAGTGGGACGATAAGGCGGAGGCTCTCGCTTGGCAGCCCACCAGAAGTTGGTGTTTACTATGTAGACTTGAGAAACGCTGCAGACTCTAAGCCCTTTATGGAGGCCGCAAGCAGCGGCTAACATTAGCGAAGCCTAGTTAGCACAGTTGTTACCAGTTATTACCTGTTATTACCTAGTTTAGTCTACTTAGTAAGTGGTTATGCGAGATGAGGTCAAGCATTTAGCGCCCTTTTGACTCATTGCTGCCTGCCAAGTGGGATCCACTGGATGTCTTCCCCCTTTTTCTCTTCCCATGTAGTGCCCAGACAGTCCAAGAGTGGATGTGTTAAACGAGGCTGGACAACACAGCCGTGACGCGAGACGAGAGGACGTCACAGTCGAAAAGTCAACCGGGCCGGCTGCTGCCTTCTGTGGTGTGGAGACCTTTTCCCTGCGCCCGCCACCCAGGGCCCCGGCAGATAACTATGATCAACGTCGGGATCGAGAGAAACAAGAAAAAAACATCACGGCTGTGGCTTTTTCCCTTTCCCTGGTCGCCACCTGCTCGGAGTCCCGGAAAGCTAGCATCGATAGTCCGGAGCTTCTATACCCGAATCGGGTAGAAAACTCTGACGGCATAGTGGGGTGTAAGCATCGATGGGCCAATGGCATCGGGCTCAATCCGGCCGATAAAGTGGATTAATTAAGGGGAAATTGCAAGATTGGCTTGGGCATGTGATTTTATCCCCGAAATCCTTCCCTAAGTGGGAAAGGAACGGGGGTCGTGGTTGATCGGTTTCGATGCAGGGACCTTCACGATCGACGCACATTGTGACAGCCAAGCAAGTCTGTCGGCGATATCCGCGGAGGCACTTCGGACCCCGATCCCTTTTTGCCTTAGGACGAACTCGAGTTCTTGGTGTTCACCCAAGCGGTGACTGTTGCGCGGCCAACATGGAAAGACAAAGATGCAATTACTGTCAAATCTGGTAATCTTGCTGGGCCGATAATCTCCCACCGTTTGACGTGCATGCCGGTGATTTGGTCAGCATATATTACTGCATGCGGCCGGTGATATTTGTGAAAACAGTTTCCATAAGCTCTTCTTAAAGGGTCATAAGAGACATTACCTACCAAGATCCCGGAGATGGCCAAGCCCCAGTGTATCCTCACTGGTTCCAAGAACTGGCGCCTTGAATATTCGTATCAGAGCTCAACCCCGTACTTTGCTTGGGATATCTTCATCAAACGGGCTCTAGCCAATCGAAGTGACGACAAAGATGTTGGGAGCAAGACCGGGAAAAGATAAAGTCACTATCGGCTTGGTATTGGAGTCTTTATCCGGTGTGATCCTTGAGTCCTTTCCTCACCACGACGATATCAGAGACTGATGGAGTTTACTCGAGAAGTAATGCAGTGGCTCTAACCAGATTTAGTCGTAATAACAAGAGATTACCGCCCAGGCGCTATGGGTAGGAGCCACCAAGAAGGTGACAAACCCCAAGCGAGAGTTGTTCTGCCACAGAAGGGAGATGCACGATCAGATGCACGATGATACTGGAGTTTATTTCCGCTTTGGGAATGCGCTTTGGCTTCACATATGACGGATTAGGAAGGGCTTGTCAGCATCATGGATGCCTGAGGAAACTGACCACATGATTCGATGCGATTCACCAAGCGAGTTCACACGCAAATCACTCTGTTCCAAGCAGCAAGACTAAGGTTCTTCATTGCTCATTCCTGGACATCATCAGTATTCAAATCGCCTACATGGATGCCAGAAGTGACGATTTATCTTGAACACCATCGTCGTCACTTATGAGTTATCAATATCTAGCCTCTGCTGAAAGCAAGCATCAACTCAATTCCTTCTAATAACGTACAAAATATCGTAAAACTCAAGTTCTTTATAGTGCCTTCCAAATAAGTGAGATTCTTCTCCAGTGAATCCTTCTAGTCGTACAAAGGTCCCTACATCAACTTGCCATCTACCTGTCTCCTCTCACCTCTCACTTGAAATTCTTCTTCCTCTCGCCTCACTTGAAAATTCTTCCATCCCCTCATTCTCATCCCTCATCTAACCACTTCCAGCTTTGTTCTCTCCCTCTCACTTCAAACACATTTCCATCCTCATCCACCTACTTGCATCTTCCTTTACCCTCACCTCTCACTTCATAGACATCTTCCTCCG